CTTTTATACCCTTGGTTGAATTTATTCCTAAATATTTCATTATTATTAATGCTACTAAAATGGAACAGCTTACAAAGTTTCTCTTTCAGATAGTTTGTTATTAGTGTATCAAATACAGCTAATTTTTGTATGCTGCTTTTGTATTTTGCAAATTCACCAAATTCACTTATTAATTTAATCATTTTATTAGAATCTTCTTAGAGTTTTCTACATATAAGGTCATGTCATCTGCAAACAGAATCAAATAACGTCTGCCTTTTCAGTTTGGATCTTTGTTTTTTCTTTTTATTGGCTAATTGCTTTGACGGAGATTCCCATTACTATGTTAAATAGAATAGTGAGAATGGGCATCCTTGTCTTCCTGACCTTAATGGAAGTACTTTCAGTGTTTCATATTGAGTATGATGTTAACTGTGGGCTGACCACATTATTTATTATGTTCAGAGACATTGTTTAATTTTTTAAAAATAGAATTATTTAAGGTTATTATTATTATTATTATTACTTTAAATTTACTATAAGACACTTGCGTTCACCAGAGAGAGAGGACTGAGAAAGTAAGTCGCTGGGTCAAGGACTCAAATTGCTGTCAGCCTTTGGGAGTTCAGTGCCTTAACCCCCATGCCACCTGCTGGTCCCTGGGGGATACTTCTATATTTAATTTGCTGAGTTTTGTTTTTTTAATCATAATAAGATGTTAAATTTTTAAATGCTTTTTATTAATCTATTGAGAATTTTCTTTATTCTGTGACTATAATATTTTACACTTACCTATTTGTGTATGTTGAAACATCTTTGCATTTCTGGAATAAATCACACTTGATCACAGTGCATGATCTTTTTAATGAGCTGTTGGATTTAATTTACTAGTATGTTGTTGATATTTTTATATCTATATTCATCAGGGATATTGGTCTGTAATGTTTGTTTCTTTGTTTCCTTGTCTGGCTTTGTTATCAGAGTAATTCCAGCTTCCTAAAATGAGTTTTAGTGTCCCCTCCTTTCCATTTGGATGAGTCTGAGAAAAATTGATACTAATTTTTCTTTAGATGTTTGTAGAATTCCCCCATGAAGCCATCTGGTCCTGAGCTTTACTTTGTTGAGAGATTTTTAATTACTGATTCAATCTCTTTACTAGTTGTACATCTATTCATATTTTCTATTTTTTCACAATGCAGGGTTGATGACTCTTGTATTTCCAGTAATTTATTAATTTCTTCTAGGTATCCACTTTCTTGGCATATCTATGCTCATAGTAACCTCTTGCAATCTTTATATTTCTGTGGAATCAGTTGTAATATCTTCTCTTTTATTTCTTATTTTATTTATTTAGATTTTCTTTTTCTTAGTCTAGCTAGGGTTTGTCAATTTAGTTTATCCTTTTAAAAAGGCAACTCTTAGTTTTGTTAATTTTTGCTATTGTTTTTTAAATCTCTATTTATTTTCTAGTCTTCGTTATTTCCTTATGTCTTTTTCTACTTGCGTGAGGTATAACATTAAATTGTTTATTTGAGGTCCTTCTTTTTTCTTAATACAGGTGTTTGCTATAAACTCCCCTCTTAGTACTGCTTTTACTGCATCCCATAAGTTTTGGTATGTTGCATTTCCATTCTCATTTCCATTTTCCATTTCCATTCCAAGATATATTCTTTTTAAATTTCCATTTTGATTTCTTCTTTGACGTATCATTGATTGTTTAGGAGTTATGTTGTTTAATTTCCACATATACCTGAGTTTTTCAAGATTTCTCCTGTTATTTATTTCAAGTCTCATAGCATTGTTTAGAAAAGATACTTTACTTAATTTCAATTTCTTAAGAAAATGTATTAAGACTTATTTTGTGATCCAACATATGATTGATCCATTGTGGAGAAAATTATGTGTGCACTTGAGAAGATTGTATTCTGTTATTGTTGGATCGAGTGCTCTATATATGTCTGTTAGGTCCATTTGTTCTAACACCTGGTTCAAATGTAATGTCTTGTCATTGATTTTCCATCTAGATTATCCATTTATTGTTGAAAGTGGGATTTTGAAATCCATTATTAAAAAATATTTATAGAATTAATAATTTTTGAAAGTCAGAATCACTACTATTTTTTGAAAAAACATTTTCATATATAAAGTAGGATTAATATCCTTCTCTCATTAAAAGTTTATACAGATGGCCAGAAATTTTACTAGTTAGACAAGTGTGTGAACAAATGGCAGCAGAGAGAATACATAGATTAATGAATACTAGAAGAATATTAAATGTTAATAACAAAAGCTGCATCTTATTTATCAAATTACAAGATTAAAAAAAGATTATCCAGGGACCAGCAGTTAGCGTAATGGCTATGTTGCTGGACTCCCATGTAGTCGACTGCGGTTCAAGTCCCGGACCTGGTGGCTTAAACTCATGCCGGGCGTGTGTGCATACGTGCCCAAGATCCCGAGAGGAGAACGGAGGAGAAGGGATTGCAGAGTGGCCATCCCCCCTGGGGGGTGATTTCTCGCTTTCTGTCTCTCTGTCTTTCTCTGTCTGTCTGGCGAGCGTACGCACCCTATAGCAAAAACCTCTCCAGAAAAAAAAAGATTATCCAGTGACAGTTTGGGTTACAGTATGGGGAAATTAATGCAAACTCCTTAGAGAAGTGATTTTTCATTCTTTATCCACCACCTTAAAAAATATTTACTACTTTTGGGGGACCAGCAGTTAGCGTAGTGGCTATGTCCCTGGACTCCCATGTAGTCGACTGCGGTTCAAGTCCCGGACCTGGTGGCTTAAACTCATGCTGGGGACCTGTGCACATGTGCCCAAGATCCAGAGAGGAGAATGGAGGAGAAGAAATTGTGGTGGGGCCATCCCCCCTGGGGGGTGACTTCTCTCTTTCAATCTCTCTTTCTCTCTGTCTTTCTGGGGAGTGCATGAGCCCTATAGCAAAAACCTCTAAAAAATATTTACTACTTTTGGCCTTGTCATTACATTAAAAATATATATATATATCTTCAAGATATTACCTGTTAGAAAAGGGGGGGGATGCAACAAAGTTTATCACAGGATTACAGATGTTGTTAAAAATTTGACAAGTACATGTTCAACATAAGGAAAATAGATTTTAAATTAGGTATGGCCACAGAATAGAATATTATGCAGCCTGTTTAAATTATTTCTATAAATATTTTTAACTACCACAGGAAAAGAACTATTTTAAAAGATATTGAAAAGAGACAAATTATATTGTGATGCCAACAATAAAAATATGTATAGAAAAAATAGGATAATGGTAACATACTCATTAGTGTTTATTGAAAGGCTATTTCACAGGGATAACCTCATTGACCCTCATATGGAGCCTAGGAGGCATTATGCCTTGATTTGTCACATTGTACAGAAAAGGGAACTGATACACAGTGATTAAATGACTTGTCAAAAGTCATGAAACTGTGGAGCCAGGTTGGTATCAATCAGGCTTGCTCCCTCCTCCTAGCTCTTAATCAATGCACCATATCTCTGTGTCTGTTAAAATATAACAAAACGGGGACCAACAGTTAGCGTAATGGCTATGTCCTTGGACTCCCACATAGTCGACCACCGTTTGAGTCCCGGACCCAGCGGCTTAAACTCACGCCGGGAGCATGTGCATGCGTGCTCAAGATCCGCGTGCGCGCTCAAGATCCCCAGAGGAGAATGGAGGAGAAGGGATTGCAGCGTGGCCATCTCCCCTTGGGGGGGGGGGGACTTCTCGCTTTCTGTTTCTCTCTCTGTGTTTCTGGCGAGCGCACGCGCCCTGTAGCAAAAACCTCTCCGGAAAAAAATAAATAAATAAATAACAAAATGTTGTCAGGAATTTCATGGACTTGGTGGTGGTGGTAGGGTATCATTGGTCTCCCTTGTACTTTCACACATCTTCTACAGTTTCTACGATCAACCTGATTTTTTAAAAAGTTGTTGTAAACTACCTTAGTAATAGTAATTTTTAAAGTTCTTAAGTCAGCTTCATTGCGTGTACATCGGGGGGATTATCTGCACCCCTATTCCTTGTTATCTCTTCCCGCCTTCCAGCATGTGCACACATCCCGCTCACAGTACCCCATTTTGAAGCATGCTCTTTCCTCACAGCTCCTGCTTTGCAGCGCGGCGGAAGAATCCAGGGCGCAACCCAGTCGACCAGCATTCAAAGGCCCGGAGCCTTCCCACGTGACCCCACGGGCCCCTAGCGGCCGCGCATTTAAGTCTCAGTCACTGGCCCTGGCCAAGGACTCTCCCCAGAACGCGACGACCTTCTGGGGGAGAGTGGGGCGCTCCTGGGAAATCCCCTGGGGCTTTCGGGGCTGGACTTGACCCTTGCCCACAAAGTCAGAGAGGCCGGGAAGTTCGGGGCATTTGGGGTTCAGGATTGGGGACCATCCGGCAGCCTGCAGTCCTGGAGCCCTTGCGGGTCGTGCTGAGCCCAGGAGGCACCAGCCCCTTCATCAGATTAGGATAGTTGCTAAAACAGTGATCATGTCAAGCTGACTCACAACTGGCCCTTGAGAAAAACGTGTTAATTAAAGAGGGTTGTCGGAGACAAAATAAACGACTTGCGTTCTGCGCGCGGATTGTGAAGTGATCATACTTTGAACGTGTCCTCTCGAGAGTTAATTATATTTTAGCTAGGAGCAAGAGAAGAGTTACCGTTTGTCCAGTCCGTGTATCGGATACCAAGTGTCACTTTCGGGGTACTTGGGCGAGGGTCGTTCTTTGCTCATTACTGTCTGGGCTGGCGGAGAGAGTAACCGAGCTGCCCGAGACAACCGTGCGCACTGGCAGCGGGTTCCTCTGTGTAGTCTAAGCCCTTCTTTTCCTGGGTCCGCTCAGGTGAAAAGCAATGAAAATTCCACATTTGCTTTCTAGTGTGGCTAATGAAATGGTGCTGCATTAGCGCAGCGGAAAAACAGTAACGCGGAGTATCTTGCGCGTTTGGACGTTTGCAATCCCGACTCCGGGGAAAATCCCTGCAAGTTTCGGCATCTAATAAAGTTTGGGGAACGCTTGTTACTAGGGTTTGTAAAAAAACCTTTGCGTTGCGCTCCCCAGGTCTGCGCTCCGGAGCCGACAGAGGGGCCGAGCAGCCGTGGGGAGGGTCCCCGGTCCCAGGCGCCGCGCGCGGGGATTCTGCCCAGTTTCCTGCTGCGGAGTCGCGGTGTCCGCCCCAGCCCAGAGCAGTTTGTGCAACTTAGAAACTCGATAGGAGGCAGCAGCTGATCTCCCACTACCCTAAAAATAATCGGCTCCGGCTCACTGCGTGCTTCGGCTAGCGAAGGAAAACTGCCTTCAGAGTAAGTGAGTCCGTGTCTTTTACAGGTATATCATTACTTTTTTTTTTAAAGAGTGACTGTTAGATGTCTCTTTTCAGCTAACATTTCGGCCACCAAAAGGCGCCGGCGCACTCCAGATCGCTATTTCTATTAGGATGAACCGACAGGGCCCAGCCAGAGCAGAGAGGGGGTGGGGATTGGGTTTCCAGTCTGACCAAACTCTGCGAGCTCCCAACTTCGACCAACTGGAAACAGTGAAAGGATTTATTACTAATGTGTTTGTCTTAGGTCTTTCCTGTACTGTTTATGAAATAACTTTCTATCTGCTAAGTTGTTATTACTCTTTGCTTTTTTAGGAGCTCTGCCTCCCCGTTTGGTTTTAACATCTTAAGACAGTGTAGGAAGTCGGTGTTTTGAAGTTAGCACAAGTGCACCCAAAAGAATTTGAAGCAGCGTCAACCTATTGCCCAAGGTATTTATTTATTTATTTATTTATTTATTTATTTATTTATTTATTTATTTATTTTTTATTTATGGCTCTATTCGTTCAGTTTAGGATGCAAAGAAATCCGATTGCACTGTCTGAGGGTTGTCTGCTTAGTAGTGCTAACATTTCCTTTGGTGTGGCTAGAACTATATAGCCACTGGAGAGTAAACGGGTGGCTTTGAGACCAGGTGCTCAATTGGAAGCCAGTGATCATTTTTACTGGTGATGTTCCTGCTTGGGTCTGTCACAACTAGCCAGGTGGACATCTTCTAGCTCTTACTTTAGGAACCATGAACTAAATAACTTCAAATAAGCCATGACAGCATTTTCACAAGGAATTTCCATTCTGAAAATGCACTATATAATGATAAAGCCACAAATTCGTTAAAATGTCATGTTTCTTTCTTGTAATTTGGTTCATCTGTTGGTAACTAAATGATGAATTATTCTGTATGTGAGCATGAAAGCTTTTCTATTGCCTTTAGCATGTTTTTTTTTAAGGTGTTTCGGACATTTTTATGTTCTTTAGAATTGCTATTCGATCAGAATGGACCCTTTCTGCTGAGCGAACAGGAAGGAATGCTGGTTTCACTTTAATTTATAGTCTATTTCCAAAAGAGAGGGCTGGCAAAAATAAACGATGTACCCGATGTATCTGAACACTTTCATGTATTTTTAGAACGAAATCAGATAATAATTATTTCCCTCTTACAAAGTGGCAGAGCTGATAGGTCAGTGACATTCATCATCAAGTAAATCTAAATTTTACATGTCCTATGGATGTGGCACTTCATATGGTGGTGCATTTCAGGAAATTAGAATACTGAGGGTACTGTTCTTGCCATGAAATATTAAGTTAGATCATCAAGGAGTATCTGCATCTTATATTTTCAGTTCTATGGACTATCTCTATACTTAGTTTCAGTTTTGATCTTTGTATTTAAAGTTTTTTGATCAAGTTCTCCAACCCTCTGAATTCTTGGAAATATTTGAATATCTCTCAGTAGGTTTATCCTTGTGGAGAAAGAGTTATGTTTTTCCATCTGCTGCCTCTTCCCTCTCTCTCTTCACTCTGAGCCCTCTGTTAGTGCTTAGCTGAACCAAGACAGCTATAGAAAGGGTGGGGCTGACAGGCATCAGGTGACAGAGTTC